TATTTTTAGTTGTCCAATTAATTTCTTTCTATTTTTAGTAGAGATGGGGTCTCGCTCTTGCTCAGGCTGATTTCGAACTCCTGAGCTCAAACAATCCACCTGCCTCGGCCTCCCAGAGAGCTAGGATTACAGGCATGAGCCACCGCGCCTGGCCTCTTAGTAAGATATTTCAAAGTATAAATTATTCTGTGAGATATCAGAATGGTGTCCAAAACTATGTTCTTACTATGATACGAATTCAAAGTCATTTGGAACTAAGTGCCACAATTGATATGCTTTCTTTATTTTAATCATTTGAATGAGTTAATAGTAAGATATCCATGGTAGCTTTTCCCTCTGTCTGCAAAACATTCATCTTTAAAGCAATTATCAGCTTCCTTGATCTGTCTTTGATAATTTCTTTATCCCTTGCCTTTGAGGTTATTTTATGTAAGTGGCAAAAGTTTCCCTCTGAAGAATAAATGCAAAAGCTTGTGTTTTGATGGTTGAATACCACGTAGCATTTTTTATTGCTGCAAATCTAAAAGGATTTGCTTGTACTCTAAAAAGCATCCCATTAAACCAGTCTGCATTTGGGTCATAGATTTACTGCCCTTAATTTCCTCTGTGATTTATTAGTAAGTGCATTTGTATGAAGCTATAATTTATTCTCACCTAGAAGTATGAAGCTTTGTCTTGCCTTTAGGAAAAATCCCACTCCAATGAGTCATCACTTTGTGTAATATCAGTCATTCCTCTAACAAGCAAAAATGGTGCTTTGAATAAAGATCATTAATTTCATATATAAATTAAGTGCCCAAAGCAATGAACTTTCTTAAATAAAAAATGCCATGTATATGAATGCAGTACAAATAAAATAGAAAATAAATAAAAGAGACAAATGAAATTATTTCTGAATTAAAGACAGCTTGTTTGCTGATTCAGAGATTTTTATGAAAAAATGGAAGTATCATAAACAGAAAGAACATTACAATAAACAGTTATATACTGATCACTGAGAACTAACATATGTAAATATTGACATGTCTGCTTCCAATCTGTACCTTTTGTTTTAAATGAAACAAAGCATCACAAACAGAGCTGAAGGACCCCACTCCACTTTCAGATCTGTTCAAGGTAATCTACACATTGGCATCCATGAGTGTTTATATAATATTTTAATAGATATACCTTATTCTTTCCCCACCTCCCGGAAATAGGGCCTCATTCTCTCACCCAGGCTAGAGTGCAGTGGCACAATCATAGCTCACTGCAGCCTTGAATTCCTGAGCTCAAGCAATCCTCCTGCCTCAGCCTTCCGAATAGCTAAGACTACAGGTACACATACCATACCTGGCTATATTTTCTTATTCTTTGTAGAGATGGGGTCTTCCTATGTTGCCCAGTCTGGTCTTGAACTCCTGGACTAAAGCAACCCTCCTGCCTCACTTCCCAAAGTGCTGGAATTACAGGCATGATATACCATGCCCAGCCAAGATAATCTTCTTAAGAATGTATTGTGTACCTAGGAATTCTTAGGAAGAAAACATGGTCAATATCTTTTTAAGCAAGTTATATGAATTATAAGGATCCTATCTTACATGTCTGTCCTAAATGAAACATCTGATATATGGTATTTCAGGTAATTAAAGAGTAATAACTAACTATTATAAAGCTCTTAATTTACAATTTACTGTTTACTTTGATCACAAGGAAGGGTAGTGTGGAATGATGAGCAAAGAGTAAAGAGCAAAAGGTTGGCTGAAGAAACCTTTCAGATGCTCATCTTGCAAGTTTCAAAGGAAAAAGGGCTATATATACTTTTTGCAGACTTAGCAAGTACTTTAATTTGAAATCGATAACCCCAAATTGCATTCATAGGTTTGACATTAGAATGAAAGTTAAGCCCTCATTTTGAGCCAAGTTTAAATTCATATCTCACAATAGAATCATAGGAATGGTAGCTGGACTTGGTGACACCTGCCTGTAGTCCTAGCCACTCGGGAGGCTGAGGAGGAGGATCACTTGAGGCCGGAAGTTTGAGGCTGCAGTGAGCCGTGATCACACCAGACAGAGTGAGACCCTATCTCTTAAAAAAGAAAGAGAATCATAGGAATCTAATCCAGCCATTTTTGCTGGGGGAGCCTTTCTGTTTCCTTAACATTGCAGCTAGAATACTTCACTGGCATCTCAAACTCAACACATCTGAAACTGAATTGGTCAGTGAATGTTACAACTATTCACCTAGTTGCCTAAACAAAAAATCTGAACATCATACTGGAAAGGTTCTCACTTTCTTGCCCTCTCCCATATGCAATCAATTATCTATCTACTTCTCTGTTTCCACACACCCACCCTGTTCCAAACCATGAAGATCTATTGACCTGGACTCCTGCATTAACTATCTAACAGGCTTTCTGCTCTTATCCATTCCATTCTTCACACTGTAGCTT